ATTACCAATATTTATTTTCTACAGCTGACTGCTGTTTATCAGACCCAATTAAAGATGTTTTGAGTAAGCTTATGCTGGGCAATTTTCCTACATACAGTAACTGCCCATTGTAGTTGGTTAGATTCTGCTTTATTTTCTAAGTTTAAGTGTTACCTTTTTTTGTCTTTAGCAAGTTTTCTGGATGAGGCATGTAAACTTTTAAAATAATGCTAATCTAGACTTAACAGCACATACTCAACTCATAACATGCTGCTCCCTGGGATCTCTTCACACTTACCCTGTTATCACTAGTCCCATCTATACATTTTATCACTGACAAAAAACTTTAATATTTTTATCTTAATTGGTTTAAATTTTTAAAACTACTTAATGTAACACAGGCTATCCATTTTTAAATTGCTTTTATTTTTGTGTTATTTTTCCATTTTTGTTCACAAGCCTAATTGCTTTTGTAACTTTTTATTTTGATGTAATTTCAGTGAAAGTTGGAAGAATAGTAAAAGGGGAATCCATATATCCTTTACCTAGATTTGCCAGTTTTCTACATATTGCCCCACTTGATGGAGCTCTGTGTGTGTGTGTGTGTGTGTGTGTGTGTGTGTGTGTGTGTTTTCATGTCTATTGGTTTTTTTTTTTTTTTTTTTTTTTTTTTTTTGTTTTTTTTTTTTTATGTTTTTTGGTTTTTTTTTTTTTTTTTTAAGCCCTCTGAGATTAAGCTGGAGATATTGGACTCTTTCTGCTATTAAATATTTTATTGTGTATTTCCTAAGAACAGAAACATTCTCCTTAATAGCAGTAGTACAGTCATATTTTTTCATATTGCTGCATAGTCTTTCTAATTACAGTATTAGTATAATTTTATATACTTTCAGTCAGGAGGCAGATGTAAAGAGTTACAGAGACCATATGAAAAATCAAGGCTAAAAGGTGATTATTTGAAAAGTCTAAAAAATAGAATAGACAAACCTCTGGTAATAGTGATATGAGAAAAAAGGAGAAGGCATAAATAAACACTGAATAAAAAGAACATAATTACAGACAGATCAGATTAAAAGATGAAAGAGAATACTATCAACAATTCTGTGCCACAAATTTGAAAGTTTAAACAAAGTGAACAAAGTCCTGGAAAAATGTAATTTATCTAAGCAAAAATGCTTTGAATAATCCTGTAAGTATTAAATAAATTGTGACATAGTAAATTTTCTCACCAAGGAAATACTAGCCCCAGACAGTTTTGCAGATTTTTCAAGAAACAGGTCATTCCAATGTTATAAGTTGTTTCAGAGAATAGAAGACAAGGGAACACATTCTTAAATTTATTCTCTAAGTCATCTATCCTTAATTCTAAAACCAGACAAGAATGGCTTAAAAAAGGAAAATTATAGGCACATTTTACTTATGAGTGTATGTGCCAGAGTCTTAAATGAAATACAGGTCTACAGACCCTTAACCGCAATTTTGAAACGCCTAACCTCTGAAAACCAAAGATTTCAGAACTTGGCAGCATAACCTGATTTGGCCTATTCTCATTGATGAGAAAACCTGACTTGAATGGATATAAGTCTGTTTACAATCATTGTTTACAGTGAATATCTACACAGTTCACTGTGAATGTGTTTGAATACTGGAGACTGACACTTGGCTTACTAAGGTTGTTACAAAATATACAGTTTTTGCACCATGAATTATTGCTAGTGACTAAAAGTGTTTGATTTCCGAAACAGCTTATTCCCGGGGTTTAGATAAGGGATTTCCGGCCTGTAATAGCAGAAAAACATTGAACAGTATGTAAAAGGAAAATCATACCCATGTTGGATTTATATCATATGTGCAAAGGGTAACTCTTTTTTTTTTTTTTTTGAGACGGAGTTTCACTCATGTTACCCAGGCTGGAGTGCAATGGCGTGATCTCGGCTCACCGCAACCTCCACCTCCGGGGTCAGGCAATTCTCCTGCCTCAGCCTCCTGAGTAGCTGGGATTACAGGCACGCACCACTATGCCCAGCTAATTTTTTGTATTATTAATAGAGACGGGGTTTCACCACGTTGACCAGGATGGTCTCGATCTCTTGACCTCGTGATCCACCCGCCTCGGCCTCCCAAAGTGCTGGGATTACAGGCTTGAGCCACCGCGCCTGGCCAAGGGTAACTCTTAATAGAAAAATCTCTATATGTAGTTTACCTCATCAACAAACTAAATGAGAAAAATGCTACAGTGGCAATAGATGCAGAAGAAGCACTTGATAAAATTTAGCAATTCATGGGGAATTTAATAAATTAACAAGTAAGAACTTTCTTGAAAATGCATGTGTACACAGACAAGCAAAATTTATAATAAACATCTGTCATCCTAAATGGGGAAATAAATTCTCTTTTTAATAAAAAGCAAGACAGATAAAACATCACCACTTCTATTCAGTGATATATGGAGATCCTACTCAAAAGATAAGAAAAAGAAAAGCATGAGTGTTGGAAAGGAAGAAGCAAAATTGTCATTATCAGCTCATAATGATGATTATCAATGTAAAAGCCAAAAAGGATTAGTATTAATAAAGTAGTATTTATCTACTGATAAACTATTAGAATTAAGAAACTAACTTGATGCAAGATCAGTAATCAAAAATAGATTGCATTTCTATGCATTAGCAACAGATAACTAGCAAAAGTAATTATAGAAGACATCATTTACAAAAACATGGCAGTTTACCAAGTTCCCAGGAATAATTAATACATGTGTAACCTCTCTGAAAAGTACAAAATGTTATTGAAAGACATTTAAAAGACCTAAATAAATGACAGAGCTATTTCCTTCCTGTCCATGAATATGGGATATCATAGAGAAGTCACTGTTCTTCAGACTGGGCTCCAAATTCAGTGTTATTTCACTGGAAGTTTCAAAAGTTTTTACCAAATACTGCATGCTGATTTGATAAATGAAAGAGTGAAGGACTTATTAATAGAATAGCATGGGCACTTCTGAAGAAGAAAGGCAGGTTGGAATGGTGGTGTGTGTGCTCATTCTATCATAGAAAACTTTAAGACATTGTGATGTTGGCACAGAGATAGGCATATTGAACAACAGAATAAAGTCTGGAAACAAACAGACCTCTGGTTTATAGCCATCTTTGGAACATATTAGCCACATGAGTCTACTGAACACTTGAAATGTGGCTAGTTTGAATTAGGATGTGCTAGTCTAAATGGTGAGGAAAGTCCTTCTTGAAAAGTCTATTTGTAGTCAGATCTGATAGCTAAATAGTTAACTAAGGGGTTGGTGGCATAGAATGCAGAGTATTTAATGCTGAATAAATAGTATGTACACATGGTAGGAGGGGAACATAGTATGTTCTTAAAGGAGTTCAATGTGTTTAGTCATTGATGTAGGGCAGACATTGATAAACTTTCTGTAAAGGGCCTGATAGTAAGTATTTCAGGCTTTGAGGGTCATACAGTCTGTTGTAACTGGTCATGTCTGTTGTATTGTGAAGGCAGCCGTAGATCATATGTAAACTGATGAACATAGCTATGTTCTAATAAACCATTTAAAAAAAAGATGACAGGCTGGATTTGCCCCCCCGGCCATATAATTTGCTAACTCTCTAGGGGGAAGAGTAGTGTAAGGAGAGATGAGAGACTTGTTCCCAATGTTAGAAATTTTTGTTATTTAACCTAAGAGTAATTTGAACATAGTGAGTAGATTTGTTTCTTGTGATAACTTAGTTACAGTATGAAGAATGGGTTGAGTGAGGGCTAGAGAGACTGTGGAAGACTGTTTAGTATATTACAGTAATCTTAGTGAACCATGATGAAAACTTGAAGCAATTGGAGTTGGGAGGGAGAGTGGTGGCAAAGGAGAATGGAGTGGATATGAGAGATACTTAAAATGCATAAGGTGTGTTGCATATAGGGGGAGGTAAGGATAATGAATAAGATGGGAAAAATGTCTCCTAGATTTCTAGCTTGTTCAGCTTCATGAGTTAGGATGCTGTTCATGAGACAGAGCATTAGAAATTTGCCAAGTTTGGAGCTGGGGAGTGGAAATTACAACTTTGGTTTTAGAGTTAAAGTGGAGATGTCAATCAGGTAGGCAGTTATGGGTCTTCAGCGGAGGTCTGAATTGGAGATACATAGGAGACAGCGAACTAAAAACGGTAATAGATGAAATCTAGGGAGTGAATATAGACACTTGCTTAACACAGACCTTTGAGAGTCTGTTAATAATGAATGGCCAAATAGCAGAGAGATGTCCTTAAAAACAGTAACAGAAAGAATAAACCACTTACCCTTTCTTAGCTGGTTCCCTTACCTATAAATTAGGAATTATAATACTTTCCTTGGAGTTGTGGTAGACATTAGAAATGAGTGTTTTAAGTGTCTAACAGAGCAGTGCCCAATAAATAGTATTATAATGTGCATCAGACCTGAAATATCTCAATATACTTAGCCAGTATCTCAGAACAGCTTTTTGCCCCATTTGCTGGATTCATTTTCTTGACTCATTTTTAAGTTAAATACTCCTGTAATTTTTTGTTTTAAGCTTATGCGCTTTGCTTGAGTCATAGTTTAGGAATCTTTTCTCAGACTCTTTGAAACCTGGGTAACCATAGCTTTTGGGCATTAGTGGCATCTAAGGAAGATTCAGATATGTTACTCTTAAACTGAGCTTCATTGTCATTCTTACCAATCAGAAGCCTTTAGTTTTGGCTGTCTTTTGTTTTATACCCAAATGAAGTTAGTGCTAGTTAAGGTAACAAAACCTCTAAGATGTTTATGATTGCAGCTGGCAATGAGGATTATTTTTTTAAATCATGACCCATTATACACACAAGTATTTCTACGTAACTGAAATGCAATCTCATAAGACAGTACTTAAGTTTATTGTACAGTGTGCCCTCTGTATCCATGGGATTCACATCCACAGATTCCAGAAACTGCAGATTGAAAAATTCATGAAAAAAACTACCAAAAATAACAATACAATAATAGAAATGGATATTTATGAGATACAATCTCACTCTGTTGCCCATGCTGGAGTGCAGTGGTACCCTCAGAGCTCACTGCTGTCTCAAAACTTCTGGGCTCAAGTGATCCTCCTGCCTCAGCCTCCTGAGTAGCCAGGACTACCGATATTAGTAGTAATAATGCCCAGCTAATTTTTTGTTATTGTAGAGATGGGGGTCTTACTATGTTGCCCGGGCTGATCTAAACTCCTGGCCTCAAGCCATCCTCTACCTTGGCCTCCCAAACTACTAGGACTACCTGTGTGTGCCACCATGCCTGGCTTGATAATACAAATTTAAAAAACAGTGTAGCAACTGTTTACACAGCATTTATACTGTTTTAGGTATTATAAGTAATCTGGAGATGATTTAAGTATATGGAAGGATAGGCATAGATAATATGCAACTACTATACCATTTTATATAAGAGACTTGAGTGTCCTCGGATTTTAGTGCCCACAGAGGTCCTGAAAGCAATCCCCTTTGGATGCTGTGGGACAAATGTGTATGTTGTTTTGATTTTCTAGTCTATTACAGTAAAAAAAGAAGTACTTTTTTACTTCTTAAAATCTACTGAATTAGTAACCTGCTAGTATTTGAAAAGCAGTCCTTTAAGAGAACTGTTTGAAATTTTCTGAGAAAATTTGAGGTGTATTATTAAAATTGCCAGTTATTAACACATTCAGTGAATGTGTTAAACACTTGTGTTTAAGCTGGTTTGATTTTTCTTCAGTATCTATTTTGTCCATTTTATTTTTAGCTTGATTCAGATACATAGTAAAATATTTGGTGAATTTTATTGTGTGTTAGTATAAACTGGTGTTCTGTTATCTTTTCCCAGGCCCTGAATATTTTCCTCCTCTTTATATTAGCAATTACCAACTTAATATAGGAAGAACAGTACTTAAAGATCTTATGGGGAAGGCTTATACTTTGTTTAATGAGCAAAGATTCTTTCTTCAGCAAAGTCTTGAACTGCTTGAAAGTTTTAGACTTTGTTTTTTGTAACTATTTTCTGTACCTTGGTTAATTTCTTAAGAGTTGATATGGAATATTCATTTTATCCATGGTTACCTTGAAAACATCCCCTTAGGGTAGAAAATGAGAGTCACCTTTGTATAGGAAGTGTGTTTAGAAGAATGATAAATGAAAAAGCTTCTTTTCTAGACCCTTCAACCAGCATCTTTTCTAGTATGTCTTGAGTTAGGTCCTGCATCTATTCCTAACCAGTACAGTCTGTCCAGGGGAGTAGAACTGTGCAATTGAATTTAGGTCTGACCAGTCTGGGCAACACAGTGGGACACTATCCCTACAAAAATTTAAAACTTCAGCTAGGAGTAGTGATAAGCCCTGGAGGATCACTTGAACCCAAAAGTTTGAGATTGCAGTGAACTGTAAATGTATCACTGCGTTCCAACCTGTGCAATACAGCGAGACCCTATCTTGAAAAAAAAAAAGAAAAATGAGTTTAGGTTTGTGCCTTTATCCTGAGAGCTCTGGGTGAAATTCTTTTTCTTTGAAATTAAAGTAATTTCTAAGGTGGGAAAAACACAATGTCTACTCTACTGCAGGCAAGATTTGTATATTGTTTATAGTTGATCTCCGTGGCCTAACACAGTCCTCTGTGTTGTACTGTGATCAGTTGAAGTCAGCATAAAGGTATGGCCTTTGTTTTTGTAGTGGTGATAAAAGAGCTGTTCATGGGTTTGTTTAATAATTACAATTTATTTTGACTCAAGAAAACTGACTTTTTATTCAATAAGCGTTTTGGTAAATGCCTACTGTGCCTCAACACTGTTAGAAACTAATACGGGATGACTTGGTCATTCATTGGCGCTGCTTTCAAGAAATTCAGTCTAGTAAAATAGATTTTGATGAAAATTAAATATGTTTTATATTTTCAACAAGGTTTAGGAAAACTTCTGATTCTATCTCATATCTCAGCTTTCCTGAAAACAATTTATTTAGGCTTTCTTTAGTACTATTTCTATTGCTTTCTTCCTGGCTAACTGGCTAACTTGGTCTACCTGATTAACTAGATCTATGGTGTTTATCTATAATTTCTCATAAAGTTAAAATTTGTTTCTTCAGTAGTATTTTTGGTGCTGGCTACACCAATTTATAACATGGATATATAGTGCAGGTATTTCTGGCAGTATTTTACTATTTGTCTTTTCTTTGAATTCTGTGTTGTACATTTGAGCATGATTTATTGCTTTTCAAATTCAGAAATGTAATTAGATAGTTAATTTTTCAAGTATATTTCTGATTTATATATTTTGTTGAGACAATTTAAAAGATTGTGTCGGTGACATACATTTTTACTAACTTAAATTTGTCAAGCACAAATTTCTTCGGTGTGGCTTTCTATACAAACTTTTTCTTAGTGTTTATAGCAGCATACTGAATATTTATTTAGCAAAAGCTAGCATAGTACAAATTATTGAAGTTACTCATTTTTGCAGCAGATTGATAGTAATTCTTAAATATATGTCAAGGATGCACTTCTATAACATAGATAATTGTGTTGTTATATTAATGGACAATTGTTACTATTGCAAGACTATAGGTAAATTTATAGGTTCGCCAATTTATGTACACCCAAATTTTGTATACTACAAAATGTGTCAGTCTTACAAGAGGTATTTTACAGTAGATGCACTTTTATGATTTCTTGCTCTGTAATGTTTTTCTGTCATCTCAGCTAATGTTTGGAGTACTCAAGTAAATAGGGCTTAATCTGTGACTTTTAAAGAAAAGAAACTCTGGAGCATAGGAGAGTTGCTGTTTAAAAGTAGTAGTAATTTTCAGTGTTTAGAATCCTTACAGCAAAATATAAGGATATGACAAAAGAGATCTTATGATTGTATCTTAGTCAAAATAAAGGGTATGACTTGCATGCATTGTGTAACATAATTGTTTTGAACTTTTTGGAGATTGTTCTTAGCCTTTGAAAATCTGAGGAAAGATCTGGGTATTTTCCCTAGAAAAATGCACATGCACAGAATTTTACTGGAGTTTTAACAGTTTCAAATACTTCCTTAAAGGCCTATGGACCCCAGTTTAAGAAACTCCTGTTGTAAGATGAGAGGGAGGAGGACGATATTGAAATTTGGGGAAGCTGCGAAAACGCACTCATTCACTTAAATAGCGAGTTGCTTTGCTAGAACTTTCTCCAAGTGACTCCAGGTTCATTTTTTGTTAGGTTGTTAATGGCATTAATAAAATATCTGCCACATATATATGTTGAAATTCTTTTTAGGAAGATGTTATCTTAGAGAATAAAGGTTCCTCAGTCATGGTTGTAATTAGTTTGCCTGAAAAGCATATACAAAAACCTAGACCACATTTATTTATTCTGTTATTTTTTTATTTCCTCTTTTCATCTGGTGTTAGCTTAAAGGGTTTGAGAGAGTCTTCACAATGTATGTTTTCCAAAGTGTGTTTGGACTTTGAGCCAGCGCTTACAGCTTTTATAGGCTTAAAAAGGGGATTAAATAAACCTTTAGAGTGCTGAGTCCCCTAAAGGCTTCTTTCTTACACCTATGTGTTAAACTGTAATGTAGTGCTGCTTCTCATTGCCTACTCACTTTATATTGTAGTTTTTTTTGTTTTACTCCCTATGTTATAAACTTTTGGAGGGCAGTTACGGTTATCATTCATCTTTGTATAACCTGCAGTAGTGTTTCTCAGTCTTGAGTCATGTGTGGACCTTTTTTAAAGTTAAAATTCTCAGACTTTTCAGCAATATATCTGTAGCCATTTCCCAAACTTGAGTTATTGGTCCTTGTTTTTACTAGTCTAGCACAATGGCTATCAAACAGGGTCAGTTTTGCCCTCCAGGAAGCATATGGCAATGGCTAGAGACATTTTTGTGGTCACTACTGGAGGTAGGAGGTTGCTACTAGCGTCTAGTGGGTAGAGGCCTGGGTTACTGCTAAACATTGCAGATTTCACAGACCGTCTCCCACAACAAAGGATTATATAGCCCAAAGTGCCAATAGTCCTGAAGTTGAGAAACCTTGGTGTAGGAAAATATGTCTTTAGGAAAATATGAAGTTCTAGAAGTCAGTCATATAAGGCATGTTTGTATCTGTTCAATAAGAAAGGCAGGATTTTCCTTATAGTTCATAGCGTTTTCTTTCCTAGCATCACCATAATTTGGTAGGAATTTATTTTCAGGAGTATGTTAACTGTGGGCCAGAGCTACATGCTATTGTTGTTTATCATACTCAACTGTATATTATTCTTTATTCTGCTATAAAATGTGTTGCTTCCATTCCATTTTCATAATCCTAGTTGAGGTTGTCATTACTTCTTATCTGCATTATCACAAAGATCTTTTTTTAAATAAATATTTTATTTTAAGCTAATTGTAGATTCACATGCTATAGTTTAAAAAAAAAAAAAAGCGGAGAGACCCCATGTGCTCTTTGCCCATTTTCTCACAATAGTAATATCCTGCAAAACTGTAGTACAGTGTCACAACCAGGACATCAGAACAGCGTGACATTAATATGATCTACAGATCTCCTTCAGATTTCCCTAGTTGTACTGATTTGTACATGTATATATTTCGTTCTTTGCAGTTTTTCATGTGTATAAGTTTATGTATCCCCCACCATAGTCAAGATGTAAAACAATTCCATCACTAGCAAATTACTTGCTTTGTCTTTTTATAACTACATGGTTTTTTTTCTCCTCACCCATCCCTAACTACTGACAGCTACTAATCTGTTTTTCATTTATGTAATTTTGTCATTTCAAGAATGTTATATAAATGAAATCACAAGGCATTATAACTTTCTGGGATTGACTTTCATTTAGCATAATGCCCTTGAGAGTCAGTCAAGTTGTTGCACGTATCAACAGTTTGTTCTTTTTATTGCCGAATAGTAGTCCATAATGTGGATATATCAGATTTTTAACCTGTTGAAGGACATCAGGTTGTTCCAGTTTTTGTCCATCTTGAATAAAGTTGCCATGAACATTCAAATACAGTTTTTCATATGAACCTAAGTTCATGTGTCTGAGATAAAAGTTGTCATGTGTCTGAGATAAAAGCCCAAGATTGCAGTTTCTGGGTTGGATAGTAATCTCATATTTAGTCTTATAAGAAATTGCAAAATGGTTTTCCTTAGTGGGTATACTATTTTAAATCACTACTAGCAATGTATGATGGATCCAGTTTTCTCTACATCCTCACCTATATTTGTGGTGCAGTAACTTTTTAATTAAATTTCTGTGTACCATTCACCACTTTTTTCAAACTGTTATTTTTATTATTACTAGTTTTTTGAGATGGAGTCTCGCTCTGTCACCTAGGCTGAAGTGCAATGGCATGATCTTGGCTCACTGCAACCTCCGTCTCCTGGGTTCAAGCGATTCTCCTGCCTCAACCTCCCGAGTAGCTGAGATTACAGGCACGCACCACCATACCCAGCTAAGTTTTATATCTTTAATAGAGACGGGGTTTCACCATGTTGGTCAGACAGGTCTCGAACTCCTGACCTCGTAATCCACCCACCTCAGCCCCCTAAAGTGCTGGGATCTCAGGTGTGAGCCACCGCGCCCGGCCCCACCAACTGTTGTTTATGTTGCTTTCTTGGGGGTAGTGCTAAAATAGAAGTGTCTGATCCTTCTCCCTACGAAGTGTATTTGTAACTTCTGTATAAAGTTCAAATTCCTGAGTTAGGCTCTAAAGCCATGTGCAGTGTGGCCCTTGCCAAATTTTTTATCCTTATTCATTCACACACATATTCTTAAGTTCCAGGTAGCTGGCTCAGAGCTGCTGTGAAGGTTAAGATTTTGCACATAGTATCAACCACTGCCTAATATATAGTAAGCAGTAAATAAATGGCAATTTCTGGTGATTTCTTAGTCTTCATCCTGACATCAGTAGGCACTCAAATGTTTAGATGAGTAAATGACTTACAGACTAGATCCTTTTTAACTTCCCAAAATGTCCCTGACCTCATCCCTTCATATATAAGTTCTACCCTTTGAATCCAGGTTTAAGTCTTATATTTAGTTATTTTGACATTTAATCACATCTTATTTCGTTTGTGCTATTAATAAAATGACTGGTAGTTAGGTGTTTTTTCATTATATCAGATTATACGTTCCTCAAGGACATTAAATTCCACTGATTTTAATATCCTTTACAGTAACCTAACATGCTATGCACATAGTAATTTCTCAGATCTTACAGACTATTGAAAGTACACCATCCTTTTTCCAAGTGAATTCACATAGAGTAGGCTATTCTTCCTCTAACTTGATGATGTGAGTAATCATTATTTTATATGAATCCTGATTAGGTTAGAATGCTTAAGCTTAGACATACCTGTCTAGTAACTCCTGCAGGAATGAAGAATTAGGTAAATGAAACCGTTACCATAAATAGTACATAATAGGACTTTGTATATTAACAAAAATCTTATATGGTAAAGGCTTTCCTCTGGTGCCTGTTTTTACTTGCTTGCTTCTGTCAACGTTTACTGAGTATCTACCATGTGCTGGATATTGTGCCTATTATAGATACCAAAAAGAAATAGGAACAGATTATTGGAAGTTGTACCAATAGGGCTTGTGATACGTTTGCTGTGGAGGGTAAAGGAAAAAGGACAATCAAGTTTGGACTCTTCGATTTATGGTTTGAACAATTAGGTAGATTTATTAAGATAGCAAAGACTAAGGGTGAAAGGATTCAGACTAGAAAGAATAAAGACATCTGTTCTGTGCTTTTTATGTTTAAAATATATATGTTGACATGCAAGTGGAAGTGACAAAGTCTAAAAATTAGAGGTATGAGTCTGGTACTCAGAGGAAGAGTTATTGGTATGTATAAATGATTTAAAGTTTTGGGAGTAGATAAATTCACACAAGGGCGGAGTACAGCTAGAGAAGAAGAGAGAGCTCAGAACTAAGTTTGGGTGGAAGAGTTGTTGGTAGATGAGACGGAAAAGGAAATCCTTAGTGGCAAAAGAGAAAAGCCACTGAAGAGTATGATATGGGAGCCAACAGAGCAAGTGTTTAAGGAAGAAGTTCAAGAAAGAATGTTGCTGAGAGCTCAAGGATGAAGAAAAAAGTTTCTTATTCATTTGATAGTATCTGATCTTAACAAGCACTTTATGGGATGGTAGGGAAAGCCAGATGGAAGTGGGTTAAAGACTGAATGTGATGGGGAAAGTAGAGACAGTGGATGCAGATGACATATTCAAGAAGCTTTGCTGTGAAAGGAAGCAAGAATTGGGTCAGTAACTAGAAGACAATGTGGGATCAAAGGGGGGTTTTTGTGTTTGTTTTTAAAGATGAGAGAGATTGGAGAGTATTTATATATTCTTAAGAATGATGCAGGAGAGGGACAAATTGATGCTATAGGAGAAAAGTGATGGGGAATAGGAGTGATTCTGAAGGAGAAGAAAGAGAGGAAGGAGAATCAGGATTTAGGTGATGTATATAATAACTGTACTGCATTTATTATAGAGGGAAAAGAAGAAATAGAGTAGGGTTATAGTTAGATTGGTCCTGGCAATAATAAGAGGGAGTTCATATTTTTTCTACTTCTCAGTTAAATGTGATTTCAGGCTATTATGAAGGGAGGGGAAAGTAGGTAATACATGTATTACTTGGGTTTTTTAAATTACAGAATATGCTAGAATATGTGGAGAATCTCAAGTATGAGACAGTATGTAGGGACCAGAGGAAACTCAAATTGGAAGTCATTGAAAGAAAATATGATTTCAGATCTCTTTCCTTTTTGGAAAGAGAAGGATTAAAATTTATATAACTTTTGCTCTACTTATATGAACATTATACTGTTTATAAGAGTCTTAAAATTTATCGAGTATATGTGTGAATCTATTAACCTTCATTCAGTGCTTATACTTAATTTGGGCATACTTGAGCTGACAAAGTAAAGGAGATCCTTTAAAATTTCTGACTGTTTCCATAGGTGTTTACTTATTTCTGCTATAGTTTGTTGCCGCTTGATAGATTGAATTCTAAATCTTTGTCAAGTGAGTCTGTTTGTATGGTTAAAGGCTTTTTGCCTTAACAACTCCAATGTTAACATTGCTCTTTTAAAATATATGTATATATTACTTTTGCCTATTGATTTTTAACTCTTTGGAGTTCTTTGTTTAAATGGCACGTGGTTGGTTGGGTTTACTTTTTCACCAAGCCTGAGAATCTTTTTGTTATATCTGATCCTGTTACATAGATATTTATTTTATAAATTTTGGCTTGCTATGTTCTTGTTCTCTCGTTTTTTTTTTCCACTGGCCAAAAAAAAAGGAAGGAGCTATTAATTTATGTGCTTCATATTTTTATCTTTAAATATATTGAACTCCTATTTCAGTTTATCATCCCTACTTCACCCCCCAAATAGTATATCATTGTACCTATCATATGTTAGTATAATTACATTATCTCTCACATCTCATCCCTCCTCCCCCTTTATATACAGTAGGTTGAGGCTTTTAGTTCTGGCCTGTTATCAAATTATTTTTACATTTTATAGCTTTACCTACAAAATTATAAATTATATTAGCCCTACCACTGTTAATTAGAATTAGTTTTACAATATTCAGTGTTTACTCTTACATTTTGCATAACATAAATTCTCCAGTGTAAGTTTTTTTAATTGATGATGTGTCATGTAGTTAAGATTTTTCAGGAGTTTGAGACTGCTATAATTTAAATATAATTATTACATATCTGTAAGCTTTTAAAAAATGTTATAAATTGCGAGTTATACACACCTGAATGACATACTGGCTAAGAATTCTTGAACTCTTAACGTTTCCCATTAATATTCCTGTAGATGAATCTTCTGGCTTCCAGTTTTCCAGAGAACTCTGAGGCTGTCCTGCTGTTTTTTTCCCCCCAATATTGGTCACTTGTTTCTTCTGCTTAGATGCTTTTAAGAGTCTTCGTAGCTTACCAAGTTCGGCATGATTTGCCCCAACTTGATGATTCACTCTTACTCGTTGTTTGTTTTTCCTAGTACATAGTAAGGTTGTTTAATCTACAGATTAAGCTCATTATTTTAGAAGAGACCTCCAGTATCTCTTCCTGGACCATTTGTACTAATTTACCATTTGTACTAATTTCATAGTGTTCCAGACGTTTGAGGTATGTTTATGAACAGAGCAGATAAAAATTCCTGCCCTTGTGCAGAGCTTAAATTACAGCAGGGGGAGACCAAAAAAAAAAAAAAATAATAATAATAATAATAATACATTGATGCATGATAATTACATAGTGTTGTGGGACGAAGAGGCAGGGTAAAAGGAACAGAGTACTGGGAGGGGCTGGGAAAGACAGCAATAGGATTGCTTTTTTTTTTTTTTTTTTTAATAATTTATTTTTTGAGATGCGATCTTGCTTTGTTGCCCAGGCTAGAATTTAAACTCCTAGGCTCAAGCTGTCCTTCCATCTCAGCCTCCCAAGTACCTGGGATTGGATTACAGTTTTTAATAGGGTGTTCAGTATAGGCCTCATTGAGAAGGTAAAGGGAAAGGCCAGTACAAATGTGCTAAGGCAGGAGCATTCCTGGCATATTAAAATAGCAAAGAAACCATATGACTTGAATAAGGGAGTAAGTGATGAGGGAAATTAGGTCAAAATATAAAGGAGCAGAGTACAAAGCATGCAAATTGTGTATGTCTTTTCAAGGAGCCAGCTTGCTCTCTGTAGAGAATGGCAAGTAGGGAATGATGATAGAAGTAGGGGACATTAAGCAGCTGATGCAATAATCCATGTATGTGAAATGATGATAGCTTTATGGGCCAGGGAGTTAACTATGAAGAGGGTAAAGAGTAGATAGATTCTATGTCTATCCATTTGCTTAGCAGTTGGAAGTAGGGTGTGAGAGAAAAAGAAGAAAGATCGAAGATGATTGAAGATTTTTATTGCAAGCAACTGAAAGGAGAGAATCCCAAAAACTGAGATGGAAAAGGCTTCAGATAGATTACATTTCAAGGAAAGCCTGAGAGGTTTTTCTTAAACTTTCAACTGATGTTGTTAGGATGTTTTGTTAGTTTGGCTTCAAGAGAAAGAGCTGAGCTGGAAATAATAATTTAGCTTATCATCATATAGATGATGTTACCAAGAGGGTGAGTATAGATGGAGAAAAGGGGACAATCAGGCCTGGCACTGTGGCCCAACCTGTAATCCTAGCACTTTGGGGGACCAAGGCAGGAGGATTACTTAAGGCCAAGGTGTTTGAGGCTATAGTGAGCTATAATCGTGCCACTGCACTACAGCCTGAGTACACAGCAAGTTGCTGTCTCAAACAAGAGCAACAAAAGACCAAGACTGATTAGGATATTCACAACATTACCGTGTTGATGAGGAGAGACTAGAAAAAGAGACTAAAAAGGGAAGAGCAAGTGAGATAATAGGGGTGGTGTCTTTCGAAGTCCATTGAAGAAGTGACT